TTTTTAATATTCAAGAATGATGGATTTTTAAAAGGTGCTTTTAAGTAATTCAATCGATATGGTTATGAATCCCACTTAGGGAATGGATTAGAGAAGACTATGGATTTTGCATGACCTAGTATTTCCTCAAGATTGGCCTTTGTTCATAAAGTAAACCACTTGGGGGGTGTGCACACTTAGTGAGGAATTGGTTTTGGAACATAATCGATTGAGTTTTAAAATTGTCTTGAAAGCATTGAATTGGAAAAGCTCTTACATGAGTATGGAATTGGAATTCTTTGAACTAAACCTAAATGATTTAAATTATGTTTTACTTATCTTACACATAATCTACTTAGCATAATTTGCTAATACATACTTTTGTTTTGGCTTTGCCCTGTTTACCATTTATGGTAAGCAGGTAAACTTTTCAGATGGAAGTTAATTGATGCATACGGGAGTCCACTGCAATTTCACCTAGCTTAGGAAAAGTTTGACTTTGTTTTGTGTCAAAAATTATGAACAAGTTTATTTAAAGTTTTATTAATAAGAATAAAGAATTTTCCGCTGAAAAAGTATTTTTAAAGTATAAGCCTTGCGTTATCACGCGGCGGTAATACGCCCAAGTTTATCTCTACGGTATTTATACGTATTTTCTACATATTCCGTAGAGGGAGATTTGGGGGTGTTACAGTTCTTACCTTGCAAAACAAAAACTATGCAAAGTGTTAGCAATGATAATTAAAAATTAAAACAAAAGAAAGAGAAATATGAAAGCAATAAGTCAAATAGCAAATAAAACTCAAAACATTTCAAAACAAGTCGTACTTCCCCGGCAATGACCCCAAAATTTGGTCGAGTCCCTAGGTGTTGTGGGTCTAGGAACCTAGTCAAATTACACCCTAACCTTTACATTAAAGAGTAATATAGCAGAGTAGGGATGTATCCACAAGGAAGTAAGTGAAAAGAATTAGCTAAAGTCAAATTTGCTTATCGAGGGTCTATTTTTTGGGGTTTTTGGGTGTGAAAGACAATTACGTCCTATAAACTACTAAACAAAACACTAAAGAAGAAGATAAAACAATAACTAAAGGCATTAGGGAAAGGGGATCAAGGAATTAACGAGACAAGCACAAACATGACAATAAACATGGGCATTCTCAATCAATTAAAGGGAGGTATTGCCTAACCATCTAGGTCTCTCTCAAGCACACTACACAATCAAACACCTAATCCCGGTCAAGGGCTCGCGATCAACTCTAGGAGGCTCACATCTACCTAATTAGTTCTTTTCAAAGCAACTAAAAAGAGTAGCAATTAGATCATGCATTCAATTAGCCAAAAATAAAGCAAGCATTAAGTACACCTCAATGAGCACATCCAATTTACCAAGAAATACGCAAATACACCATTACATAAGCACTAATCAATCACAAACAAACAACCATGAATAATCTAATTAATCAAATTAATAGAATGGAGAAATGTCTAACAACCTAGGTCATTTCTGCACACTCTAGGTAGTCAAACTCTCAACCCCGCCTACAAGCTCGTGGTCAACTAAGCGATGAATTTCTTCTACTAGGCTAGCTCACTTTCCGCACAACTAGAATAATAGCAATCAAATCATGAAATCAATTGGCTAGAAAAAAAAACAAGCATTAAACCCATCATCCTTAGTTCAATTTATCAATAATCGCAATTAAATTTTTAATAAGTGTTCAATTTGCATCATTAATCACCCATTATCCCTAACCCTAGTTATTAAGCTACTCAAATATTATTAATTTAAAAAAATAAACACAAAAATAAAGAGTAGAAACTAAATAACAAAATAAGCGTAGTACAAAGTTTAAGTTTTCGGGATAAAATAATTGGTTGAATTGAGTTTGATAATATTAGTGAGGGTTGACAACAATGAGAGCACAATTAGGTTCAATATCATTAAGAATGGTGTTAGCAGCCATTAGGAATGGTGTTAGCAGCCATAGGGAAGAAACAACCTGCTCTAATACCATGAAAGGGTTAAGATTGATTGAATTGTATTATTCAGAAAGAATTACATCCATTTATATTACAAGATTAAAGCATATACAATAGTTATACGTGTGCTAATAAGGAGCAAAAATATACTATACAAAATAAGAGAATGTACTCTCTTAAGCAATCTAAAGTCAAATGATATGGACTACATATATATATGCTGAATATCCGTGAATAATATTGCTTGAGAAACATTATTAAGCAAGTCAAGGATATTATCTTGGAGTACCCTTAATAATAGAATTATTGGCAAATATACATTCCACCAAAAAAAAAAAAGGGACATGTGTCAGCTTTGGAGCTAGTGCACCCTATTTTAGTATAGTATATTGATTTGTGAATGATATTCATGATTTAAATCTCGTATATATAACAATTGTGCATGATATTCATGACTCAATCAAACTTTTATTAATTTTAGTATAGTATGTTGTCATATATTAATATTTTATGGACATTTTGTTAGAAACTACTAATAAAAGCCAAATTTTGGAGAAACTACCTATTAAAAAAAATGTTATAAGAAACTACCTAATAAAAGGTAAAATATTGTAAGAAACTACCCATTTAAAGGTAATATATATGTTATAAAATACTACTTCTATCGGATTTCCACCGTTGACCCACCTCAAAACACCCCCGAAACCACCACTTTCATCCCCAAAACCAAGAACATGCTTGAAATTGCCTCTACCATGCCGAATCCATCCTCCAACCCCAAAACCACCACCTCTAACCCTAACCAACATCCCAAATCACGAAAGTTCCCTCACCAACTCGGAATATCCTCCAACCATCCTGAAACTAACCTTACAACCTTGAAAACCGACCCCCATAGTGCTTTCAAGGGTGTTTTGAGGTGGGTCAACGCCGTGAAATTAAGTCAACGGTAGAAATTCGGCCAAAGGTAGTATCTTACAACATTTAAACTTTTATTAGGTAATTTCTTACAACATTTTTTTTATTAGGTAGTTTCTCATAATATTTAGATTTTATTAGGTAATTTCTGACAAAAAACCTATATTTTTGTGCAATTAAAGATATATATTAAGACATAATTCAATGGTTAAGTTCCGAATAATTAACCATGAGATTAAAAGTTCGATTCTTATATAAATCATGTTTTTTAAATATTAATGTGTAATGACATAGAATAATAACCAACAAAAAAACCGGAGAGAGTGCCACGTGGCATGTGGATTTGCTTCAAAACGCCCTTTAGTATATTGTATAGATGTAATATTCAAAATTGTGTATTCAAAGTGAGTATTTAATTCTCTATGATTTATTTATTATTCAATTGTTAAAAGGAGATTTTCTATTATGCAGTTCAAGTAACGCTAAACTCTAACTTACAAGTAGAGTTCGTACTCTGTTCTCTCTCCTCACCCAAACTCTCTGTTCTCTCTCCTCACCCAAACTCTTTGTTCTGCCGGAAACCTAGGGCTCGCCAGAGATCCGACGCCGCAGCCGTTTCTCCGGCGAGGTTCCTCCTCCTTTAGCTCCCTCTAACACGGCGTTTCTCCACCTTTCTTTCCCCTCTCAGCTTTCCTCGCCTTCCCCCGCTTTCCTCTGCCTCCCATCCATCAAGTCGGTGTAGATGCCGGCGAGGCTTCGCCTCCTCTTCTTCTTCGTCTTCTCTTCCCAGCTGCCCCCCCCCTTTTTCATCTTTTAAGTCCTCTGTTTTCAGTTTTGAAGGGGTGGTGGTGACCCTTTCCACGGCCAACACGTTTTATAGTAGCCCCTTTTTATTACCCACCTTTGAGAGGGTGGTTCTCGGTCAAAGTACTTCGCCGGCGAAACAAGTGGCCTAAGGAATAAGCTTAACGCCGCCGTCATAAAGGTCATTGGTAAATTTGACCGTGACGGAAATGGTAAAGTTAGGGTAGGGGTTTCGTGGGTCCTTGCGCTGGAGGGCTAGGCCTAACGTCGCCGTCAGGAGTGGTTCGTGACGGAAACGGTGAAGTTAGGGTTAGGGTTTTGAGGTTCTTTGCTATTATTGTTTCGGATTTTGTGTCCGAGAGGGGCTCTCTGATTTGGTCATCTTACCTAAGTATGTTTTTTCTTCTTGTTATTCAGAGTTTACCTTATTTCTTAAAATTATGTATGGTTTATTTTAGCCTTTCTTGGTTGTCCTGTTTTTCTGGTTGTTTTGGCTATAATTTATTGGATGGTTGTGTGAGGAGGGAGTTTGGATACTTTGTCAAGGGATTTAGTGTCGTTGTTGTGTCGAGAGAGGTAACTTGGGTTGCCGTTGTTTGGGGGACGAACGAGAAGTTGGCCATGGCTAGGGTGTGGTGTGTATTATGGTGGAATGACTATGGTTGTCATTCTGCTCCTTTCATTGGAGTGATCATTGTGATCATTACTCTTGATTTTTTCTATCCGAAGCAGGCGCCCAAACTTTGTTTTGGGGTTTCACGAGCCTCGACGTTGTTAAAGCTTTCTTGCAAACAAGAATAACTTATGAATGATAGGTCACATGTCCATGTGATCGGTTTGAAAGCCTTATGTGGTGATAAGTTGATCCCACTAGGTAAAGTTAAACTAGCCATGATCAAACAGTTGCGATACTCTATGGACTCTGTATATTTTGAAGTAGGTATCCGCTCTTTGGCCTAGAAAGAGGTCCTGATTCGCAACTTTTCTGGCCAACTCCAGTTATGTATTTTGGTTTTTAGTGTCGAAAGTTGGAAAGGATTAAATGTCAAAAGCCATATAGTAAGGTTTAGTTTTTATTTCGTATGTTGTAAACTCTGATTTTATTAATATCATTTGCTTTTGTCAAAAAAAAAAAAATTCTTTATTCTATTTTTTTTTTTTTTTATTTAATCATTGCTAGTATCATATAAGGATTATTATGCTGATTACTAGTATCATCATGCTATGTTGCTTCCAATATGGTTATCATAACAATAAAGCAATAAAATCATGAACTGATACGAATTAATATTATTTTTTTAATTAGTTTGATACTGTCAAATATATGTGGATGGTAGGGCTTGAAGATGTAACCAAGGCGAGTTTCCCACCGTCTTAAATCACCAAGCATGCCTCAAATGCCAAACTCAAAATTTGTGCATTCTGTATAATTACACAAAGTACTATACGAGTACATAATTTAAGTTACAAGGCAATAATACAAGAATTATTATTGCATTGGATAACAATCAAAATAGATTTACAAAAGCTTTTATTTTTAATAAATTGCCTCCTATCTTTAATATGATGGGGAATAATTCACTTGAACTTACAAGATGAACACAAGTATCTGTTAAAATTTGAACAAAGGATGAAGTAGAGAAGTCACTGCCAAGAATACAAAGGAGTAGTAAGGCGAGCTTTGGTTGGTGTTGATTTCTTCCTCCATGGAAACATATCGGTCACCAACGGAATAATAGGCTTCTTCTTCATCTTTTTCTTCGCTTTCATACCATCCCCAAAATAGCAATCATAGTCAGTAATACTTAGTATTTGAGCTAATGTAGGGGAATCCACATTTTTCACCATCACTTCAAATTTTCTCGTTTCCTCATCTTTCATTCCTATCTCTCGATTTCCTTCTTCAACGACTGATAAAGATTTCGCTGCTGCTTTTCCAGCTTCAGCAGCCTCAGCTTTGGCTATCTTAGACATATTTTCGTGAAGCTCCGCATTCAAAGAAGCCAATGCCACCTCTGTCTCGGATTCTCTTTCTTTTAGCAGCTTCACTTCTGTCTTTGTTTCTTGCAACTCACTTTCTAATCTCTTCAATATCATCAACATCATCACTAAATCATTCCCATGCACTATTTTCCCTTGCTTGTCATTTGTCGGTTTCTCAGAACTTAGTGCCGGTTCAATTTCTTTACTTGAAGTACTTGGAGATGGTGATATGCTCTTATCCCAGGGAAAACTTGAACAAGGATAAAGTTTGTTCTCATTGTTTGGAATTTCGGGACTTGGTGTAGGTTCACACACCGGCGAGTCTATAGCTTCACTGGTAGCATTGCTCTGAGGCTTATAGGGACTCTGTGTAAACTCATATGAATCAGGTGTACCAATTTCGAGAGCAACACCATGAGATTTTTCTGAACTTGGTGTAAACTCCAAGGAAGGTGATAAAGTAACCTGCTCGATGGGCGGGGTTGAGGGTGCTTGCGAAGGTGACTGAACTTCTCTAAGAAGAATCCGTTTCCCAAAAATGGCAACCGCCTCTTTGACCGAGTGGAAAGGCCGAGAAGCATCCACTGTGGAGTTGCTATCTGCATCTGGTGTTGCAGGGGCCAGATTGTCCATCATTGAGATTTTGAATATTTGATGGTGGATAGATTTGAGCATCCAAAAGCACAAACTCAATCTCTCTTAAAAAGACAAAAGAGAGAGTTAGTTTGAAGGTTAAGACTTCTCAGATGTTTGGTGCTAGGAAGACGACGACCGTTCACCTGTTTTGGTTGGTTGATCATATACAAAAAAGTGTAAATTGGATTTGGCAGAGAGATCATAAATGCTAATAATTAAGACAATGATGTAACACTTCATAATTTGGTAGTATTGTATTATTTATACTTATGATAACCGCAATATGCACTCTGAAATATAAAATTTTCACTTATTATTTCTTCCTTTCTCCAGAAATATGAAAGCTACAGAAACTTTACGTGAAATGTAGTACAGTGATTGTAAATGTTACAAAATGGTTCATAAAGTTAAACAATAGAAATTATCGAACAAAAAATGACTGTTTAACTTCCAAATTCAATACTGCCATTTTAGAATGCGATTTGTTAAGATATGAGATCAAGAGTTGTGCCGTCAATCCTGCACTCCAGCAAAAGCTTTTCAAGGATAATCTATGACTGCAACCTAACTACTTTGAGTGACCTTCAAGCTTCGATACAATCCTCGGAAAGTGACAGATGATTTGATTCCAGAAGTCTGTTACACCCCTTCACAAGGTATATGCACTTGATTTCTTAGCTGCATGAGATGTTGTCGTACAGGAATCTGGCCAATTGGCAACTCATTCATTTGACATTGAAAAGTAGTCGTTCGTTTATAATAACATGTGATAAAGAGGAACTAATAGGATGATTCTCTATACAGTCTCCCTCAGGGCTACCGCTGCCTCAATGGAAGAACCTAAAAGAAGTCTCTTTCTATAATAAATGAAAGGACTGGTCGTTTATCAGCCAGCCATATCAGGAAAGGGTCCTCCAGACACATTAGTCAAGGCTATAGATGCTTGAATCAAGTCTGATATTAGACTTACTCATCAACAGATAATTTTCTGTCAACACTGGAAAATGTTTTGTAAAATGCTTTGAAAAGCTTATAAGCAGTGTCTACATCTTCCTTTCCACATATCTCCCTCACACTACATGCAAGAAAACAAGCATTCAGGGACAGCAGCATATTCCAAAATCAAAAGTTCTAGCAGTAAAATTTTTAAGGAAACATATATCATACTCCCTTAGTTCTACAAAGTTCTGGCGTATTGTAGATCCACATATCAAGGAAAATGAATAAAATAATGTGGCAGATAATAATAAAAAGCCCCCACAAAGTGGATCAAGTTTGCGTAAAATAATAGTGTTTCTTTGACAAAATGCAAAAGTGGGAAGAACTTTGTGGAACGAAGGGCGTACAATGGCATTAATCTGCAAATATTAATATATACTACTACACCTGACAAAATTAGGCTTAAGTGTACACAGAACAAAATAGTTTAGATTTGACCCATGCCAAAACTAACCCAACCAAACCACACCAAAAGTAATACAATTATTAATGACTAGTTTTTCATATTTAAGTAATTGACAACAAATCCAAATACAAGCCAGATTATAGCCCTAATCGAACCAATTGAATAATCACCCGAATATGACCTAAAGTAAACTATCTTCAATTAAACTTGAACAGAACACAATCAACATTATTCTTTTTTCACATCTAATATTAGGCTTGTATGTCATACAACCTTTCCTTTCTGCATCAAAGTATCCACTTAACATAGACTAGTTTCTTTACTTTTACCAACGTATTTCAGCGATCAACTGATGACCAAAATTTAACATCCTTGTAGATTCTTGGTCTTTCTTCACAATCAAGGAAACAGGGGAACCAACATTTATAACTTGCTTCATAGGACAGAAATCACCTCATTCAATAGTCATTTTCTTCTGTATAAGGAAATACTTTCATTGATAAGCCAATCTTTCAGAAATGACTTAGCCTTGGGAAAATCTTCCTATTGGTTAAACCATGTGGTACCCAGAGTATTTGCCTAATTATTTCCTATGTTTACAATGTAAGCTTTACTCTACCAGATACTAGTTATTGAAATAGAGCTTGTTTCACATCTAGATTATCAAGTTTAGCATCTCAATGTCATAGTCAATGCTACATCAGCCCTCTTGTTATAATCCAAAGCAGAACAGACCAGTTTGATACCTGTGCATGGAAAGCTGAGGGATGCCACAATCAACAGTTCGTATCCCAACACCTGCAGCAAGTATGGGACCAATAGTGGATCCACACCCCATGTCATTTCTGACCACAAATTCCTACAAACAGACAATTAGATCATGTCATTATTACACACATATAGACTTAACAAAAAAAAGTTTGTACAGCAAATCCAAATAACTAGCTTAAAAGTGTTCACAGAGGATAATGCATTAGAAGTCAAAGGAAACTTTATGACTCTGTTTCCAAGAGCAGCATAGATTCTGGGAATTCAATCCATACTAGCTTAAAAGGTGCCAACTAGATGAACCTTCTTCACAAATTCTTGTGACGATAACTTCATCACTGGAAGCCTGGGTGGCTTGTAAGAAAGATTTAGGCAAAATCTATGTCATGATCGTGGTAATATTTGCAAACCCTCAAAGTATTATTTCACTTTATCACATAAATGATTAGTGTTTTTCTTTTATCTGAAAAATTGCCTTTGTATCTTCCACACTAGTGAAGCATCGCCAGATTGGTCAATACATAGTGATCCTTTACAACTCTCACTAATCGGGTGTATCAGCCAATACTTAAACCTATGGCATGTAGGGGATGGTAGAAGCATCTATGTCCAGGCATTTAAATTAGATGCTTTTGGGGATTGATATTTGCTTAGTGAGGACTGTGGTCATTGAGATGCAGGGGGTTTGAAAGTCCATGTTATGAACCTATAATGGTGTAGCAGTAAATTCTATTTGAATTAACAAAAGGCTGCCACCTAACTCTCTTTATTAGTGTGTAAGTCAATGGCTGAGTTTATGCAGTGTAGTATACAATCAGGAAACAGCTCATAGGCAATACAGCAAGACGCAGTTAACCCCCAAAATTAGACTCCAATATAGTTATGTCATACTCTGGATTTGGCTACTTTTAAAGTTATAAATGCTGCAATGAGACCATACATCCCATGTAGGAATGTTATGAACATCAGATGTTTAAAAGACTAGTAAAGGTAAAAGTCTTTCTTTGGGTGGTTGTTGGGTGCTCTAATAGATGATTTCAGAAGCATATTTTAGCAAATATTATGCAATCAGCATAAAGAGGCAAGGGCACAAGGAGCTTAGAATTTAAAACACCTAATATCCCAGGCTGCTTGGAACTGTTGAAGTGAAAGGTTTCTAATCATTTTGCCCCCTAATAGTAAAGGCCTTACTAAGATTGGTAGCAAACTAATGAGTATTACCACTGGTTTTTTTTATCTATCCATTTTGACTTGCACGTTTCCCAACATGGAACATTGACCATTTATTCAATATAAACAAGTAAAAATTATAACAAGATTGCAACGATTCTAACAAGATCCTACATGACCATGTCTTTCTTAAATCAGCATCATTGATTAAAGTGGATTATGTAAATGGTGCAAAAGGTCAAAATGAGTAAATTAAAAAAAAAAAAAAAAAATAGAAGGTAAGAGATTTCCCAAACTTTATGGTACAATGTCATAAAAGCAGGTACGGTCTGTATCAAAATGAGTGGAATACTCAAGATGTTCGGGTAACTCAAGATTACCCTGGTAATTAATTTTTTACGCTTCTATTCTAGTTATTATAAAATTGGTGAGGTTCAAAGTAAATCCGGTTAGGGAGATGCTTGGATATGCAAGCAGCCTCTCTATGGTTGTGATTCTCGCTTTTATTTTGTTATCTTTCCTCCATATTTTTCCAGTATTGAGTTTCAATATTGGCAAAGCGTGGGACTTACACTTGAGGTGGCCATTCCACAACCGAGTGATAGAGGAGTCTGTGCATAGCCATTTGATATTCAATAAAAGGACGTAGTTAATTCAGAAATGAGGACGGGTGATTGTTAGGGGTGTTTTCTAAGTAAAACCCCCTTTTTAAGCTTTGTGCTGATTTCAGTTATTGAATTTCATTAGGAAGCCAAAGTCCCCCTTAAGATGAGCTAAAGTGTGCACTTTAGGTTTGAAAAGGCTCTATCGATTGCTATGCTCCGAAACGGCAGTCAGGAATGGCCATATCACCTGACATTTGCTTTTTTATCAGGGCTAATAATGAGTCTTGCTCACATGTCTTCGTCTAATGTGATATGGTTTGCTAACTTTGGAAACAACTCTTTGCATTACATGAGTTATGAATTGTCTTGTGTCAGATCTTTGAGAATCCAGGAGGGCTTACAGATTTTCTTTGCGGGTTTGGTTCAGGGAAGGAGAAGAAGTGACTTTGGAGAAATACGATAATGGCCTTCATGTGGCGATTCTAGTTGGAGCAAATGGCTGATTTTTTTTAATGGTGTTGTTTTCCCACATGATTTATAATGGGATAAAGTAACCTTATTAGCTTTTTTGTGAGCAAAGGCAGGCAGGCGGCCAGATTTGGAGGGAGAAGAGGATAGGGGGTGGGGGAGAAGGTCTTGCAAAGCTGGGACCCCACAAATGTCGACCCGGCCAATGTTAGTTGGCAAAGCCCCTTGGGGGTGGGGAGAAGAATAAGGGAATCCCCACCCCCAAAGAGCCCTCATGATATTTTATTTTATTTTTTTTTTTTTTTTTTTTGACAGGGCCCTCATGAGATTTAATCACACAGTCATTAATGGCTTGTTTCTGATTATTCTATTGGAGACATACAAAGGAATTGAGGTAAGTTTTAGTCCCTCCATTCTTTGACTGTGTATGTTTGTCAATGCACATCTTTGAGTATCAAAATGTCTGATTATATAGCAAAAATTATTAAAATTTGATATTCCTATAGCATTTATTAAAAAGAATTAAACAAGACTCCACATAACTATATATTTTCTTATACTTCCTCCATTCTTTTAATTGCACCACTTGCCTTTTAAAGAAGTATCACAAATATTGCATCATTTCTATTTTAGGACAAAAAATATCACTATTACACTGCAAATACCCAATATATCCTTACTTTTTCACACTTATTCTTTAGTTTGTGTTTACATTACATGGGCAATTTATATTTTTACCTTTCTCTCTCATCCTTTTTCCCACTACCAAAATTATTGTGCCCAACCTATATGGTGCAATAATAAAAATAAATAAATAAATAAAAAAAAAGGAGGAAGTATAAAAGGAACAATTTAGAAGGTTCCCTCAAATGCAGATAGTTGCAAGATTTCAAACAAGAACATCAAGAAGAAACATAGAGGGAGTATTTTTGTCAAACATAATAATGACTGGACACCATCCTAGCAGACAAATAAACTAATGCATAACTGAGGGATTGAAGGCAGCTTCTGTTTTGAAATAATGGGCATCATGAAGACAAATAAGCTGAGGCTACTGGGGTTAGATGTCACATAGGATTTAATTTAAGAAAATTGCTCAGTCCAAAACGAATGGCCTCGATGACAATTAAAAGGTCACAAGCCTTTGGAGTTTGGTCCCACTATTTGAAAACATTATTAACTTAGTAGCTCTATTGTTTGTTTATTACTATGGCCTTGGTTGTCCCCCTACTTCAACATATAATTAAAGGGTAGAATCACTCCAGCATGCAGAAATAAGAAAGTGATAGACTGTATCTATTCCACTGCCCTCTAAGATTACATTTAATCCTTGATGACAGCAAAAATAGTTCATTTTTTATTGCTGACTCGTCACTGAGAGAAAACACAGTAATCAATCATGCATAAGAAAAGGAACAGCCCAATAGAAGCTCGCAATAGAGGCTGAACATCAATGAAAGTACCTGAGTTGGTAAGTTATGAATTTTTGCAACTTCTTTGAAAAGAAAAGCAGTAACTCCACTAGTAGCATAGCGCTGGTTAGCATTATGTTTTATAACAAGCCCCTTTTGCATTTGTGGCCGATGGTCTTCTTCATGTTTGTCCATAAAATTTGGGTGAACTCCATGAGCCATGTCAGCTGAGACTATTAAACATTGTTCCCATACAGAAATAAGATGTAATGTTCAGAACAATATACTTGTAGTCACTATTGCAACTTTGCAAGTGATCTTACAATTTATGTGAATTCTTTTTCACATAATCGCGACTCAGTTATGTACTCCCTCTGTCCCAGAATTGTTTGAACTATTCTGGAACAGAGGGAGTACCATTTAAGAATTCAAAAAATCAGTGCTCAAAACTAGGGGGAGGTCACTGAAATAGATTGAAAGCATCAGCAGAATAAATTCATCAGAGTAGGGGTTGTGGGCCTGTGGCATTAAGAATACTAGATATCCAGCTAAGCATTTATGATCTTTGGCAGACATACCTAAAAATGATTGCCGAATCGCTCTTTCTACAGTCCCTTCACCAACATTTTCATGAGCTAAGCAGCTAACTATGCGTCTCATAGCTTGAAACATTGTGGGTGCACCAGCACCCTGGATTGAGTCAGAACCCACCTGCAACACAAGTAATTACCAAATATATTTAAAAATACTAGATTATTAAAAGTGGTCAGGAAAAGTGAGTAACAGAGAGAGAATGCCTACTTGGATTTCCACATAAAAGATAAAAAAGGATTCAAATGCACATAATAAAAGGACATGGAATGTCAGAGTCAGCATATTATATGCAAGAGTATCACTTTGGAGAAATATGAAAATAGCAAAATGTCCATCAGTAAACTTTTTAAATACAGCAGTCCCAATTGCAGACAAACCTATGACTCTACTAGATAGACAAATTAATAATGGAATTCAAATTAAAGAGTCATGACAGTACAAGCTAGATCATTAGAGGAACATAAGAATAAGTACCCAAGTCAGCCTATTCAAAATATATATCTATCAACATATTATAGGACATAATCCCCTTCCAACAGCAAGAAAAAACAACAGCAAACAAGAAAATCCTACCTCTTCATTATCAAATAAAGCAATCATCCGTACAGCATCTTCATTAGATAAATCTCCAGGAGATGAACAAGAATCAAGAAGAGCTCTTAGTGCGCAAAAACTTGAGGCAAGATTATCTAATCTTCCAGAAAATATAAACTCATTGTTTATGCCCCCCAGACAGCTAGCTTGAGTATCACAAACATTAAGCTCGAGACTCACAATGTCATCAACACAACAATCCAACTCTTCAGACAGAACCTGCCAAATAATATTATAGAAAAAATGCATTGAAAAACAGGAGTGGGAATGTGTCTAATACATGTATAGGCAAATTGCTCAAATTTGCAAGGATCAATAATGGTGGGATAAGAGATGATATATTATCATATTTTTTAGAGTAAGGTCTGTTTTTATATAATTTCACATGTCCACTTGTCCAAGAATCAAAGTGGCCCAGCTCATGTTACTGGGAACGTGATACAGACCCCCATTCGGTAAACCAAATAATTGCTTTTCAAAAACTGATCCAATTTGCTGAGCCATAAGACCCAGTTCAACAAGCCTATGACCCACATTGTTGAAGGTCTTTTTGTTATATTCAATTCACTACGGGCAGAATTCTGATTTTATTCTCGTACCACGAATTGTATTGTACTGCATACCATATGACCATAAAAAATTGGTGCTGACACATCCAAGTGTCTAGAGATTATTTTTTTGACATAAAATGAAACACCCAGATAACAAAATCCATAAGCATATCCAAGAAATAATCCTTTGTAGGAAATACAGAAAATGAGGGGGGAAATTAGCTAATATTAGCAAAATTTTAAATGTCCAGTCTCAGCTTCACAACAAGTTTTTACGTATAGCAGTATAAGTAATATACTGGGTTACTAAATGAGTGAACTACTTGCACTAAACTACATATATGACAATTGCTTTAGGAGATAATCAATTATAGGGAACACTAAATACAGTTATCTGCAATGATATTATTATTATCTTAACAATTTTATCCATGAAAAAAGGCCATGCCTATGGAAGTATATGAACAAGTACATGGTGAAGTCCACAACAATACAGCAAGTGATCAAATTAGTAATTTACCTCCAGAAGCTGTGGATGATGCCAAGCCTTAGAAGATTTTGTTGGTCCCTGTTCTTTAGACTCTGGAAGCTCTTCTTCACATCTTGTTGACAGCAATGGGACAAGGTGAGTTTCTAAATTAGGTTTGAAACCATCCTGATTCACTGTTCTATAAGATAAGAGGCAAAAGAAGAAAAAAAAGTATCATGGATCAATATAAGGCTCTTCCCAATGGGGAGGGGCAAAGTAAAAGTTAGATAGTGTTTTCTTCACCTGAATTTCACTTATCTTATACCTAGACATACTTTATCGAAACTTATCAAAATTTATTATCCCTTTTCTTATCCAATCTTATATTATTTTATCTTATAGAATCTTATTTGACCTTATTGGACTTCATTATAATGTCCTTTTAGACTTCAGTGGAATTCATTAACCCTTATCTTATCTAAATTTATTAGCCCCTGCATTTTCTTATCTGAGCTTATTAGCCCTTATATTATCCTATCGAAAGTTATTAGACTTTAAATAAATGAGAATAAGGTGAGGAGAACACTGCCTTAGTTGTCATCTTCAATTGGATAACACAAATTTAGATTATCGATTTACAACAGGATTATTCGCATCCCCTCTACATTTTCAGACATCAAATGACCTTATAATTATAATATTCTAACCCAAAAAGGTAAAAATCTTCATTAATTAAGTGACTGCCCACCTTTAGTAGAATGGTAATAACCTAATAAAATAGACATCCATCCAGCAGCTAACAGCACTTTTTCCTTTTTTCCTTTATTCCTTTTTTGGCAATCAGCTGATAAAAATTTCTAAGGCATGTAAAGACAAAAAATGTTGGGGACACAAGTCAGCTTTGACAGAGTTGCAAGTCTTGCAACACATACCGGTTGAGATGAATGGCTAGAGTAGGTATTCGCAATAGTGGTCTATTTATTTTCACAAGTCTCTGAATGAAAGAACCATCATCACTCCTAACTATAACTCTTCCAGCAACGCTTAAGTCTCGGTCAAACCAAGTGTGCCACAAGCCACCACCATATGTTTGAACATTCAGCATTAGATATCCAGGTTTTGACGATGCTGATATTGGTTTTAGTTTTAAACATGGACTGTCGGTGTGGGCTGCAATAATGTGAAATCCATTGCCAGTAATGTAACTGCAAAACAGATGATAGCTTTTAGTTCACAATTTGCTCAGCATATCTTGTCTTCACTACCTGTTAAGCATACTGAGAAGATACTGCAAAGAACAGTCAAGATTGTTTGTCACCATTTATGCTATCAGATGGTAAAGAGAAGGCGGAAAATGTCTAAAGTCTATTCCTTATAGACACAAGGTGATGTGATAGTGTAGAAAATCTAGTAACCAAACAGTCAATAGAGAAGACCATTAGATACTCAGTAAAAAATATTTAAGTTTAATAGTATCACACGGCAGACCACCAATGTTGGGGACGATTGTTTTTGTTAGCCACATTTACCATTTGGTCTAGCGGTCTAGCCCTATATTTCAAGAGCTAAATCCTTCAGAGAACTAATATTTAGAAATGATCTCAGAATGACAAACCATTCTTAGGCCCTGTTCTTTTGAGTTGTTTTGTTCTGCTCTACTCTTTTAAAAATAATAATTAATAATAATAATAATTAATATTTAATATTTAATAAAAAATAATAATTATTATTAATATTTAATAATAATAACTAATATTTATAGATAATAATAATTAATATTTAATAATAATAATAATTAATATTTAATAATAATAATAATAAATATTTTATAATAATAATAATAATTAATATATAATATTAATTGATAATAATAACTAATATTTAATGATAATAATTAATATTTTATATTATTTAACACATTTTCTAATGTTATAAAAAGAGTAAAAAAATCTAAAAAAAAATCAAATAATAATAATAATAACAATAATAATAATAATAAAATAATACGATAATAATAATAATAAAATAATGCGATAAACAACAACAACAACAATGAAATCTGCTCTGCTTTGCTCTGCGCTGCCTGCTGAAATCTGCTCTGCTCTAAGCTCAAAAAAACAGGGCCTTACAATGGATAAATGGTATTCTATAATTAAATCTAATAGTCCCTCTGTCCCAAAATTTTTGCCACAAATGAGTTGGGTGCAATTTTTATGCACTTGAAAGGAGTACAAAAGGTTCCATATTTGGACCTTTTTTATTGTTTATAAGGGTAGATATGAAATAAATGGATGGGCTCCGGTTTAGCAAATAAGAAAATGAATAAATTTGGATGACCATAATGAGTTTGTGGCAACTAATGGGATGTTGGGAGTAACTTTTTACACCAATACACCGTAAAACTTTTATGTTTAGAGCATCAAATATTCCAGAAGTCAATAAATTAATTTAATCTCAAAAGATTAGTTAAAATGTAAGGCTAATTAACTTGCAAAGCTTCTTTGTTATAGGTGAATAATTTTAATGTTAGTTTGGCCATGTCAGTGATCGAAAGACACACCAGTAAGGAAAGTAGAGGGATGTGATTAAGAAGATAGGTAAACCCCAAAGATGACTTTTATGGAAGGAGTTAGGGACAAGAAGTTGGGTTAGCAGGAGCATATAACATTGGACAGAAGAAAATGGAATGACAGGATCATGATTGGCGAGTATTGGAGATAAAATCTTGCCTCACGTAGCTGCCCCATCTTTGGGATTAATTTGGGATTAAGCCTTTGATTGTTCTTGTTGTTCTTATTCTTGTTGTTTTGGATACATAGCTCAGAGTCGGAGTCCTGTGGAGCAACTGTAAATATGACCCTTCACTAAAGGAAAACGAAAGAACACTATGGAGCTTGTACTAAATACAGCAGTTATACATAGAACACCAAACTGCAGCAGCCAGCAAGTATACATAAAGTTTATTTCGTTATGAAAGCTATTTCATTGAATTTTTTTCTGCTTTTAAGGCAATATTACATATAGCAAAAAAAAAATGTCAAGAGAGATTCACAAAGTTTTGACCATTAATAAAATATATTAATACCGAACACATTCCCTGTAAGATATATCACATACCCATATTACATTTCAAGCCTTAAGGCCCTAAACGTGATACAAATTAGGTAATTATGGTCAAATACTAATTCAAATAGAGTACAGCAAGGTATTGAAGAGTGGAGTGTCATCAAGCGAGGAGAAACCACAAAGTAGGGGAGCAAGCTACCATCAATCAAAGAAGTAACAATTATCAAATTAACCCAATTTTTTAAATATTTAAACAACTATTACTTAGTAAATAACTAAAGTATATGAGAATTGCACTTAAACAAGCTAATATCTTACTTTTCACCAATGGAAAAAGCAATCAAAGAAGACATATTTCTTGTGAAAAAGTATCGACCACCAGGCTTGAGTTCCCATTCTTCATTCTCATTCAGTAGGTGGAAGCCAGCAGCAAGCAGTTGCCTTTTAGCTTCAGCTGCAATGATGTTACTGTGATCAGCAAGAAAGGACGGATTTAAAATGTTTCTCTTCTTGAAAAAAAGGCCTTCATAAGAGCTAATCGATTGCAGGTAAATGTGCATAGAGGCTTCATGTCAACAAAAGGAGAATATGTTGTTACCAAATCAAAGAAGATGAAGATCTAAGAGTCTGTACCAATAAAAATAAAATGTTATGTAGGATTCAACTACACCGATAGTCCTAAATCCGTAAATTTCATACCCCCTATGACTATTTATTGTTTTTTTTTTCTTATGTACCCACTACTACTTTATTCAAATTTTGGCACACACATTTTACCATCTTAACACCTTATCTCCACAACGATACCACATGTCTACTCACTCTTGTACTTTATCACCTTTTTCATACACCAAACAACCTCTTTATTTTATCTCTGCTACTTTCACCACCTTCTTACACTCACTTAGTAAAAGGCTAGGAGTACATGCATGTGCTGTTAAGGTTAAGTGTTATTATTAAATAAATAACAGGTAAGAGAACATATTATTCAATGACTAATTAAGATAAATGTATTAAGAATTACTCATCCTATCATTAAAAAATAACCACATAGAACAGTTAGTCAATGCCTCATCTCTCAGCCGACCGTTATATGATTTGACATTAGATATATTCATTTTACTACAAAAATCATTGTTAGTTAAATAAAAAAATAAAAAAAATAAAAAAAAAAAAACCACGAACTTCATGACAAACATACAGTCATTTTAATGAACTAAGTGACTTAGTTGCTTGAAAGAGCGAATCCCATGCAAATAACCCAATGCAATTTTCAAAGCCACCTTCTATTTTTTCCATTTGGACTCAACCGTCCCAATTTATGATATTTAAAACTCTACACAATACAAAATCAAATGTGCAACATTTATTGCACAAGTAATAAAAAATAAAACATAATTATAGCATTATTATTATTTTTTTTTTTTGATGCATTCTTAACAACAAGATTCTACAGTAAGCAAGTCAAACTTTTGGTTACAGAGGGAGCACTTTTTCCATGCATTTTTAACAACAGGAGTCCACAATAAGAAAGTCAAACTTTCGGCTACGGAGAGAGTAATACAAATTTGTGTGGTAATCACTATTTCTTCCACTTTTTAGTAGATTGACTCTATTCTTCCATTTTATTGTCCAATTAGTTTACGTTAGTTGAATTGGCTAAAAACAATCGAAATACAGTATGTCCCTAAATTTGTAGGAACATCAAGTTAAGCCCTATCCACTAAGTTACTAATTTTTACTAAACTGAAGTTATTTACTAAATGTCTTTTTTTTTAAAGTGAACTAAGCAAGGCCTTAGATCATTATTTAAATCCTCAAGCCATTTCTTTCAAAAGCAATCCCTTGAATTATTGTCAACCTAAAGAAACCTCAAATTATTAATCGTAGTTGAGTACATTTCTTGAAGTAATTCACTAAAAAACTATACCAAGTTCTAGTAATCCGGTGAAAATCTCATCGAACCATAAACATCACAATGAATAACCACTTCTACAACAAAGTACACGTTGATTATTTTCTGACCAATTGGTTCAGCAGGATTAAAATACACACAATTAAAAGTCTAATGTTAGCCAAAAGAAGTCTAAAGTTTAAAGACATGGTTTGCAGCCGCAATTAATCTCTCTAAAATAAACATATATAAAAAATAATAATAATAATAACTGTTTCTCGGCTTTTTCACGATCATTTTCTGGTAGGTTTCTCGCAATTTTCAGGCGAGCTTCAGCCAAGCGTAGTGTTATCGGTGGCGTCTCCGGTTGCTGGTTGTTCAGGCGTATTTTAGGCAGTATTCAGGCAGAATTCTGGCGGCATTCAGGTTCTGTTTTGGTGCGTATTTCAGGGGTTTTCTCAGGTCGTTTTGTTCCGTTTTCAAGCGTGGTTCAGGCGTGTTTTTGGTGGGTTTTCAGGCGGGTTTTAGGCTGCAGTTTTGGTGTGGATTTGGTGCGTTTCTGGGTTATTTCTGGCGTTTTCTGGTCTGTTTGCGGGTGAGGTTTATTCCGGCAGTTCGTGGGCAGTTTGTGGGCAGTTTTTGGTGCCGTTTTGGTGTGTATTTGGTGCTGGTTTTAGTGCAGTTTAGGTGTGTATTTGGTGCTTTTTTTGGGTGTTGTTTTGGAGTGTGTTTGGTGCTGGTTTTGGTGCTGTTTGGGTGTGTGTTTGGTGCTGTTTTTAGAGCAGTTTTGGTGTGGAATTGGTGCTGTTTTTATTGCGGTGTTGGTGGAGTTTTGGGACGATTCAAGTGTTGTTTGTGTGGCACTGTGAATTGGGTGTTATGCCTCCTATTGTTCAATTTCATTGCTCATTTGTGGGTCTAAATGGGTGTCATGATGGCCGGGGTAAAGGGCTCACAAAAACCTCTTTAATCACTCATCTCCGTGACCGTCATTGTTGTGTGGATGCACGGGATATGACCCGAAACTCTCTTACCTCTGATTTGACTATTTTCTTAGAGACGGAGTCAACCTTTCGTCGTATGGGCATTTGGCTTTGTGGGGAGTGTTTCAACACACATACTCTTCGTACGAAGTGTCGACATGGTCCTGGTTTGGATGATATTGTGGCCCCACCTGATTGTGGGGATGGTGTTGTTCAGTTTGTTCTTTATGGTTTTCCTAAACCGCAGGGTCCATCTTCGGAGGTATCTGATCTTGTTCCTAGTGTGCCTCATGAGCCTCTTTTTGCGTTCGAAGTTGCTCTCCTAGATAGTTTGCTATCTAAGCGGTTTCGTACGGTGAAATATATTCCTCCTAAGTTGCACTTGAGTTTTTCTCGGGTTCTCAAAGGAGCGCTTGATAAGATGATTTGCAAGCCAGATGACGTCTCTTGTTGAGTTCAACTGCTTGTGTTGCCTCTCTGTGTTCTAAAAACCTTTTCTCCGAGAAGTTGTCGTGAGTGTTCTTCGGGTGTCAGGCGGCAGCGGCAGGAAGAGAGTATCTCCGCTGCTATTCGTTCTTGGTGTGAGCCTGGTGGTCCTGTCATCTTGTGCGGGACACGTTGGCTGATGTGTCTCCACCTCTGTTGGATGCTGATGATGAGCATGATTTGTCTGAGCGTAATATTACGCACTGTAAGAGAAAGATTAGTGACGGACATTACACTGCTGCGGTTCGGGTACTTTCGTCTTCTGGTGTGGCCCCTTACAATGATGCTACTCTTGCTGATTTGCAAGCTAAGCACCCTTCCTTTCCGGCTCCTATCTTACCGGATATCCCTGTTGATCAGCCCCTTATTGCTGCACCTGCTGTTGTTTTAGATCAGATTAGGGGTTTTCCGCGTGGTACGTCATGCGGAAGAGACGGCTTGCGTGCTCAGCACCTTCTTGATTGCTTGAGTGGTGTTGCGGTTGCTATTCCTGCTGAGTTGGGGGAGTATATTGCTAGTGCTCCTCTCACGCCACTTGTTAAGCCCGGTGGTGGTATTCGTCCTATTGTTGTGGGTACTGTTTGGCGGCGTTTGGTTTCAAAGGTTGGGGCTGCTTTAGTTGGTCCTTGTTTGGGGAACTATTTAGGAGGTCTTCAGTTTGGTGTTGGGGTGCCGGCGGGTGGCAAGGCTATTCTTCATGTTGTTAATCGTTTGGTTGAGGCTCGAGGTGGTGATGTTGGCCTCTCTATATTGCTAATGGATTTCCGGAATGCCTTTAATTTGGTTGATCGTACGGCGGCTTTACTGCGTGAGGTTCGTCTCCGTTGTCCATCTCTTTCGCGTTGGGTTGAATTCTGTTACTCTACTCCAGCCAGGCTCTATTATAGGGAGCATACCTTAAGATCATGTCAAGGTGTGCAGCAGGGTGATCCACTTGGCCCTTTGCTTTATGCTTTGGTGCTCATCCGTTGGTTTGTCGAATTAGGGATTCGTTCGACTTATGTTTGCAGGCTTGGTATTTGGATGATGGCACTATTATTGGTGACACCTTGGTGGTAGGGAAGGTTATGGAGTTGATTCTGGTGAAGGGACCTCGTCTCGGCCTCCATGTTAACGTTGAGAAAACGGAAGTTTTCTGGCCCTCGGAGGACCCTCGTAGCCGGCTGGCGGTGTCTTTCCTCCAGATATTGCTCGTCCTGCTCATGGGGTTAAGTTGCTTGGTAGTCCTGTCAGTGCGGATGCCTCTTTCTGTGGTGAGCTTGTTTCGCAGAGAGTGTCGAAAACCATTGTGCTCATGGATGCTGTTGCTAAGCTTGAGGACCCAGTGTGAGTTGTTACTACTTCGTGCGTGTACTGGAGTTTCAAAACTCTACTTTTCTATGCGCACTTGTCCTCCTCGTCTTTTTGAAGCGGCCCAGATTTCTTTTGATGTGGCCCTTCAAGGTTCTTTGGAGCGCATTGTAACTGCTTCGGGGCCAGGTTTTGGTGATTGGCAATGGCGACTTGCCACCTTACCTTTTTCTTATGGAGGATTGGGTGTCTATTCAGTGGGTGATGTTCGCCACTATGCTTTTCTTGCGTCGCGCTTGCAGTCTTCTGGTCTTCAGGCTTCGCTTCTTCGCAATTCTGGTATTGTTGGTCCAAGTCCGGCCTTCGACGGCGCTCTTAGTCTTTAATAGGACTGTAGAGACTGATGTTTTGAGTAACCCTAGTGAGATCGCTGCCCCAAACTCATGAAGAAATTGGCAGATATATATTTCACAATCCACTTTCTCCTTATCTCCGCATCAGGTTGCCTTATGGAAATCCCAGCAGGGGGATCACACTTCTGCCTGGTTGCGAGCGGTCCCGATATCCGGTCTGGGTCAGACTATGAATGGTAAGACTTACCGTTGTGTCCTTTGCTACCGGTTGGGTGTTCCCTTGTTCGCCGTATCGGCACCTTGTTCTGCTTGCTCAAGGGTGTTTGATGGGGATATTTATGGGGATCATGCAGTGTCTTGTGCTGGGATGGTGGGTATTAAACATCGGCACAACGTTGTTCGTAATACCCTTGTTAATATTTGTTTCCGCTCTGGGATTTCTGCAAGAAAGGAGGTCAGCGTTGGGTTGTCTAGAGGGAACGACGGGGCTCTTCGGCAGATGTGTTGCTTTACTCTTGGGATAGAAGTATGGGGTCTTCTCCATTGACACAATCTGGGTTGTCTGACTTCGTTCCTGGTCGTGTCGTGTCGGCTGCGGCTCAGCAGAAGCGGGACAAGTATGGGGCGCGTTGCAGGGCTATTGGTTATGATTTTCTTCCTTTCTCCTTTTCTTCATTGGGGGAATTGGAGAAGGATGTTGTTGCATTGCTGAATCGGGTTCAGGCGTTCGCTAAGACTCAGGGTGCTCGTGCGGCTGCTCACATCTTCAACAGGATTGGGTTCGCTATAGCTAGAGGGGTGGGGGCCATATTGTATCTCGGCTCCCTAATTTCTTGTAAATCGTTTGACTTTCTAGGTTTTTGATAATAATAATAATAATAATAATAATAATAATAGCTCAAACAAAATTGATGCAAAATTCAAATTTTTCCACATTTGTAGCAGAAATTGCGTAAAAACAAAATGGCATAAGTTGAAATTGTTCTTGATAACATACCAGTAGCATGAAATTGGGTCCATGATTCATTGAGATAATTCAGCAAATCCCTAACAATTGACCCATCTTTTTCAATATGGGAAGAATTCTACATATAAATTGAAGTTATTAATAAATTAATAAATACTTAAACGTAAATCAAGAAATAAATTTTTTTTGAAGAAAAAAACCTGACGAATTTGATCGGCATTGGAGGAACGACAACGAAAGGCAGAGAAGCTTTGCGAAGAGGTAGAGAAACAGAAATTGGGGAGTTTGAATTTTGTGGGAGGAAAGAGAAAACAGGGTTTGAGGAGTTTAGGGTGTGAATGTAGTTGGAGAAGTTGCAGTCTAGCAACAGTCACCATTTTTGCGTTCTTTAAGCTTCTAGAGAAGAGTTGATAAGCTATAATCCAATGCTACTTCATCTAGCCAAAGGTATCTAATCAAGCTAGCAACTCTAGATCGACTCAGTCGATCGCCTAAAGAGACAACTCTTGGTTGAGACTTACGGGGTATTAATGTATTATACTAGTACCAAAGTTGGATGGAATGAAATAATAGACAGAAATTAGATGATGTAAATAAAAAAGAGAAGAATGACAAAATATGGTGACGCGAACAATCGGGAATTCGGGATGAAAATGAGTAAAAATTGCGGATAGCTATGATGAGTTCACCAATTTTATTATACGAGTGTAAAGCAGATAATTAAAATTACATTGTATGTTTGGAATTCGATAATATAAAAGTATATTTCATTCGTTTCAAAATAAATGTCCCATTCTTACTTGGCATGCAGGTTAATGTAAAATTTGACCAAAAATATCTTTAATTATCAATAAATATAAATTGTAAAAAGTTGATATTCGGTAACTATACGTTAAGACGATTCTTTTTTTTATTCTACTTAATAGCTACATGACTATATTTTCTTTAAATATAAATCAACAACATTGATCAAAATGGATTAGGTAAACTTTAAAAAGTTAAATAGGACACTAAAAAAAAAAAAGTGAGCACATTTAAATAAATATGAGTAGCTTGGATGAAATCTTTGTAGCATAGTAGACATTAGTGTTAGGGTTGTTCATCCCAAGTCCCACATGGAAAAAATAAGGAAGAGATGGCATCCTTATAAGTAGAAGTACACTCCATTAGTATGAGACCTTTTGGAAGGGTACCCAAAAACAAATCCTAATGAAAAAGAAAATATTGAAGAGGAGAGAGGAGAGAGCAAGTAATAATGAACATTGAAATTAGTACTTCATCCACTATAAAATAGGAAAAAGTACACTAAAAATAAAGCAAGGGTAAAGTTGCCCAAATTTTATGTCTTAAAATAGAAAAATCCTAAACGTAAAGAATAAATATGAACACCCAAAATGGAAACGTTAAAAAAAATGGGAACGGAGGGAGTAGTGTATAGTTTATGCAGTGGAGTTGTTATACCCAAGGTAGGAATGAGATAGGATAGGATGAAGCTTCATGGGAAGAAGTTATTCTCTTTTACAGGGCTTCAACTAGTAGCTAGTAGGCAGATGGAGAATCATGGGATGACTTCCTTGAAAATAGGAGGTGATTGTTCACTCTTTGATTTGGTTTTCCAATAAATTTGAACTGCTTTTAAAGCATCTACATTGGTGGGGTTGCTCACCATTTTCTCTTTCCTACTTTTTCCCTCCACATCACTTTCCACTATTATGAGTTACCATTGCAAGTCACTCCCTTAGTTTTTTCTACAACGGTGAGTCACCAAAAACTATGAGAAAAGTTTACAAGTAGTTTAAAAAGTTGTAATCGGGTATCATTATCAACATGAATTCAATGAACTTGTATGAATGTAAACATTTGTTTCAACTCTACTCGTTTAACTCGTTCTGCAACTTGTACGAATGTAAACCTTTGTTTCAACCATGCAAACTTGCCTAACCCTTTTCTCTTCTTATTTTTCTGGTTATTTTTTAATTCAAAAATGGAATTTTTTTTTAAAAAAATTTAATTGGTTTCTCACCTAATTTCAATTCAAAGAACATAAGAAAATAAAGGGAGTATAAAAATATAATTTTCCAATATAAACCCTAATTTATATATACATGTAATATTTGTACGGAGTAAATAATTTGTTTGATTAATTTTTTTTTTTATAAATAGTTGATTAATTAAAATTTTACCCTTTTTAATTTTTATCTTCAATATTTATCTACAAAATTAATAATTTTTATTCCAACATAAAATAAATGATATGCAATTCAAAAAAGCAGAAAATTCGGGTGGTTATATAAATGTTGCAAAGTTCATGATAAAAGAAATGCTTTGTTTCAATGTGTGTAGAAAAAGATTTTCCAAAAAATTTGGGCTTTCTAGAAAATAGATTGAGAAGTGACAATTAGAAAAATGTAGGTCAAGACTTGAGAACAACATATGATATGGTGAACGTTCATAGAAATTTTGTATAGTAGTAATTGTATTATGCAATGTATTCTCTCCTACTTTTATCAATACCCCACCAATTATTATTATTATTATTATTATTATTATTATTATTATTATTATCTATGTTTTAATTTTAATGATTTTATGTTAACAAATTCTATTAATTAGAAGTATAACAATAGTCATTACTTAATCAGATAATATAATTAATTAATGACCTTATGTTTTAATTATTATTTCTATTAACTATTAAATTAGTCTTGTTGAGCATGAGTGGTTTCAAAATTATTAAAATAAATAAATACTTTAAATTATTTAAACAATACTTTTTCTTTTTTTTTTTGTAAACCAATGAAGAATTTTTATTTTTTATTTTTTTATTACCGTTATAAGATATTTGACACTTTAAAACTATGAAAAATATATTGGCAAATGTTCATGCTGCATAGTAACAGCTAAAAAAATTTAAACGGTTACCATGTTTCCGCGTGGCACTTTGTAGACAGGTGAAATACTTTTGTTTGGGCTGAATTTTTGATGCAACATCAGAAATTAGATAATTTTTTTTTTTCGTGCAACAAACGATGTCGTTTTGTATAATCAAAAGGCAAAAAAAATTGAAACGCTTAACTTCATGCACACAAACTAATGTTGTTAGTGGAAGAGAGAGGTGCCTCACCTCAAGACCCACTCACAAGTCACCAGAGCATCCACATTGGTAGAGTAGCGTACAATTTCTCTCTCTAATTTTAATTCTTCCATAACATATTCCACTAATTTGATTCACTATTATGAAACACTCATTTATTTTTTTTTCTAAAATGGTGAGCTAGCTCACTACAATTAAAAAATTGTTTTATGTTAATATTGGGAAAAAAAAAATGCAAAATTTTGCCACTTATCATCTTCATGTTTGTCACTGGGCTCGTGTGTTGAGGCGGTCAATGACTTGGAAGAGGGAGGAGCCTCACCCCATGAGTCACCTTTCACAATGGTAAGGTACCTCAAAATAAGAGAGAGAGTATTGTGGGGAGGGTCTTGAGTCACCTATTGTGGGTGCTCTACCCCAAAGTATGAGAGAGTGGAGGAAATAGTAATACGGATTGTTATGCATTTGCAAATGCATAACAAATACTAAAATATTAGAAATTGCATGGAACAGAAAGTAAGGAAGAGAGAGATAGGTAAGTGGGACCACTTTTAATTGTACCTGAAAGGTTATATAATACCATTGGTTATTAGTGATACTATATATGCACATAGTAAGTACCACTACATACGTACATAGAACCACTAAATATTCAATGGTACTATTTGATCACTTAATGGTACTATTCTAAATTCAAAACATACATTTATGTGTAATTACACCCTTGCCCCTCATTATACAATTGTTGTGCATAACAATCCTCCCTTTGAACACCCTTTAAGAGAGTGTTGTGGGGAGGTTCATGAGTTACCCATTGTGGGTGCTTGTGCTCTTAAGTGTACATACATTCAAATAGCTTTCATGACTTTTTCATATTAATAGTTACTCTCTTTGTTATAGGTTTTCCCAATAAACTTGAACTTGTTTCGTAACTCTTTGACATCCTCTAGCGGGACTCGTGACATTGGTCGTTCGTACAAAATGACCCTTAACACTCCACAAATTACACGATGCAGGTGGGTGTATGGTATTGCAAGGATAAAATTACGCATCTCAAAGCACATTTTAAATGCTAAATATCTATAATTTTGTAAGAGTAAAAATTATAAAAAGTTGATATTGTGAAAGTATTTTATGAGGCGAATCCAACAAGATCACACATGACTATATTTTGCTAATGTATAAATCATATTATATGGTCAAACAAGAGTGATGAATAGTGCAAAAAGTCTATTATTACAATATTAATAGAACGGAAGAAGTATTATTCATTATGAAAAGAGCTTTATTTAGTATAAAAAAGTTATTAAATTGTATTGTACAATACAAGTAAAACAAAAAAGAATACTAGTATTATTTTGCTGATTAGTTACAATGTATTGTTGTTTTGCCCAATCTACTTTGAATAATCCCAACTTTCAATTATTCTGTAATATTCCCACCTTTAGAATGCATTTTCTTTATTCAATCCCGAAAACCGATAACCTGATTAAAGGGTTAAATTGGGTGACCATAATCATAGTTATCTAACTGACTGAGTAGTTTGATATTTTAAGATGACAATTGACAAAATAGTTGAACAATATGTAAAGTAATATAGAAAAAGAAATTGGGCAGATAACAGGAACATCTTAGTAGATTTAGGCTGATGCTCAATAGTAATGCATTTTAGTGAGCGGTGACGACATTATCTACATTAAGAATTTGAAAGGAACAAAACTATCCAATATATTTAAAAACATCTCAACTGGAATCCAAATAAAAACAAAGGCGTGTGCTGCTAATATTAACATCATATCGATACTTCCACAAGCAATTGAGAGTACTCACGAACACAACTTTACCCGAATGCTCCATGGCTCCATGCCAACATTCAGGGAGCATTACATCCCCAATTTCGTTTTACTTTGCTCCAGGCTTCTAGGGTTACTACAAAGATTGACATATATGAGCTGGATATCAATTTGTAATTACAATTATAAGGAAATCATAGTCGAAAGATATCTTTATAAAGCATGTTTAAACATCTAAACAGTGAAGCCGCTGCCTTTAAAACTTGTTAGCCAGACCATATTTCAAGTTCCCGAAACATTTTTCTCAATGGAAACATCAGCAAAAAGCTCCTTTTAAGTATTTTAAATGAGATCTATTAAAACAAGGTTGATCAAAAAAAGTTGAGCAAATAAGGATGCATTCTATTAACCTAATTTTCACTAATATAAACTTATTATTGCTCATATTAGTTGTATCATGAAATTGGGTAACACTTATTAGCCCTTATCAAAACCTATAAAATAAATGGAAATATAGGGGGGAATCAAGGGAAATGGGGCCTAAGTTGATTCTTCAAGTCAAATTAAAAAAGCATGTAATACTATAAAAATTATACTGGGCTTGTGTTTCTCTCCACTAAATTATACAGTAGGTACTACAAAGTCCTGTCATGCACAGTTCTTTTGCTTGAAATCCAGCAAATAATTAGGCTTGTATTTCACACATATCACAGCATATATTCAAGGTTTGTAATAGGCAT